GTGACCAGATATTATAATTTCTAAACTTATGAAGTAAACACCATTATATGATTTAAAATTCACATTATGAATAAAATGAGACAAGGCAAGGATAGGGTGATTGTTAAGAAGCAACAAAAAGATATGAAAAGGAGAAAAGGAGAAAAGGAGACTGGGAAGGGAAAAGGAGAGACAGTGCTGAGAGGACAGTAAAACAAAGAATGATTAAGAAGCCAGAAAAGGAGGCCCATGTCTATGTGGAAACGTGATGTGTGACAGAGTGCCTTTGCTGCCACTGAGAAGTGGCAGGGCTATTTGGTTAGTGATACTACAACAATTAGCTACTAACATGGAAAAACAATAAAACTGGATTCCTATGTCATAAATTTCCGTATGAATTAAAACAAAATATGAAGAGAAAGCTATAGAAGTTAATGTAAAAATGTCTTCATGCCTACTGAATAGGGGAGGATTTCTTTTAAAGATTCTAAGAAGCAACAAAAAGATATGAAAAGGAGAAAAGGAGAAAAGGAGACTGGGAAGGGAAAAGGAGAGACAGTGCTGAGAGGACAGTAAAACAAAGAATGATTAAGAAGCCAGAAAAGGAGGCCCATGTCTATGTGGAAACGTGATGTGTGACAGAGTGCCTTTGCTGTCACTGAGAAGTGGCAGGGCTATTTGGTTAGTGATTCTACAACAATTAGCTACTAACATGGAAAAACAATAAAACTGGATTCCTATATCATAAATTTCCATATGGATTAAAACAAAATATGAAGAGAAAGCTATAGTATAAGCTAATGCCTACTGAATAGGGGAGGATTTCTTTTAAAGATTCTCAAATAGCATAAACCACAAAGGAAAAGACTCATAAATTCGACTACTAAAATTAATTGTTTATCAAAGGTACCATCATGAACTTAAAAAAAAGTAACATTGAGAGAAAATATTTGCAACATACATGAGGAATAAAAGACTAGAATCCAGAATACATTTTTCAAAAACCCTTAAAAATAAATATGAAGAAAAACACCACACAATAAAAAAGTGGACATAAGAATGACAGACATCTCATGAAAGGGGAAACTCAAATGGCCAATAAATATATAGATACTTAACCTCAGACAACAATTAAATAATATTTAGACCCACCCATTTGACAAAAAAATCTAAAATAGGGAAATATTAAGAGCTTGTGAGGATACAGAATACCAAAAACATCTCTGTACTACAAATGGGGTTATTAATAAGTTCAACTACTTTGGAAAGTAATTTGGCACTATCCAGGAAGGATGAAGATGTGCAGAGCCTATGACTCAGCAACTCCACTGTCAGACATCCAGCCGAGAGAACCTTGCACACTGTGCACCAGGCAACATCCACAAGGTTAGTAAAAGCACTGACTGTGACAGCACATCCCAGAAACCTCCCAGATGTCACCAACAAGAAAAGGGGTTAAGTGCAGATGGGTTCTCGAGGAAGCGGTCTGAGACCGTTTAGTATCCGGGATGTTCATGAGGGAGTGCTTAGTAAAGTGGGATTCAAACATGCAGGAGGAAGGAGAAGTCAAGATGCAATGGAGGCCCATTAGCTTTAGGCGACCTCAGGGTCCTCCACCGGGGAACCCGTAGAACTGAAACAGATGGTCAAAGTTGTCCTATTTTAAGTCAAAATGGCCAGGCCTTATACCCCACCTCAAACACTAATTAGAAGTGGTCCACACCCAAAAGGCCAGTCAGCCCTCTGTCAGAGCAATCCCTGAAGGTCTGACAGCTGAAGGCTATCTGCTGACCACTCTCACAGCACCTGGGACAAGTCCTTCCTTGAAAGGAGGATCTACCAGTGAAGGCGAACCTATGACACGGGTGTCAGAGGTGACACGTGAACTCATTTTTTTGGTTGATTTTTCTTTGTTAAATGGCATTTAAATATATAAAATAAATATCAAAAATATAAGTCTTTGTTTTACTATGGTTGCAAATATCAAAAAATTTCTATATGTGACACGGCACCAGAGTTAAGTTAGGGTTTTTCAAAATGCTGACACGCTGAGCTCAAAAGGTTCGCCATCACTGATTCTCAGCAGCATACTCCATGTTCACCATATTGCTGTATATTCACATGATGGAATACTATATAGCAGTGAACATTAATGACCTAAAGCTACAGCAGTCAACATGGATAAATCTCACAATAGTGAGAAGAGAAAGAAGAAGAAAAAATACAGATCGTTTGCTTTCGTTTATTTAAAATCCACAAACAAGCAAAATGAAATTATATTTCCTTAGGGAAAATTACATATGGGTTAAAACTATAAACAAGATCAAAGGGATGTTAAAATATAAAAGTTTAAACGGTCATTACCTCTCGGAGATGAGGGATAGAGAGAGAAAAGGGATCGGATAGGGGACACAAGAGCCTCTCAAAGTCTTGATATTTTTCTGTTTTTAAGGTGGGCCTATGGTTTTGTTTTGTTATTGTTACTATTTATAGCTTAAGTGTATTAAAATATTCTTTTGGATAATTGTTTTAATTTTTAAAAGAACAAATATTTTCTTTATTTATTTCAGGAGAACTTATTTTCCCAAAGTTCAACCCAGAACCAGGAGATGCTGTAACCAAATCTGGTCTCCTTACTCCTTGACTCCTGACTGATTAAAAGAGGGAATTTCCATGGTTAGCCTTGGCTGTTTTGCCAGGAATATGTCATACTTCACCAGTGCTACCAAGCACCACTATGAAATCTTCAATTGTATTTGTTGATGTAAAAAATCTTAAGGCTTCAAATTTAGATAGCAAGTGTGCAGGCAGGAGACATTACAATGGTATAATTATTCACAATTTACATTTGAAAAGCTGCGACTTTGAAAGGAAAATAATTTGCACAATGTGTGAAGTAATAGCTGTGCTAGAAATAAAATGGGATCCCAGACTCTCCTGCCAGTGCTACAAATTACAGCAGAAGAGAAATTAACTGGGGGGAAGGTTTTGAGCTACCACCCACTGGTAATTATCAGTAGTAACAATTTCTGTCAGTATAACACTAATATCTCGCTAAGGTGCTCTGAAACAGCAAAAAATTACCAATATTTTTTAAAATCTGGTATTTTTAGTAAGTTTACTTTCTGAGGCCCCAACTTTCTGTTGTTTAGTGGAGTGTCAATACACAAATTTCTATTTCTTCACAGATGAGTAAAAGACACAAGGAAGCCAAAATCTAACTGGCTCACACAGAGATTTTCAATCAAAACACACATTACGGGAACATAAGACTGTGGCATTTCACACTTCATCTAACTTCTCCTTTGCAGACATCTGCCATTTAGCTATGTAAGGTGGATGTTCAGAGAACGGACCACTTTGGGGTGGAAAGCACTTTGGAGCTGCCTGCGGTATTTTTAAATGTTAAACCATCAAAACCTCTTTAGATATTCAGGTGACTTTTTTTTTAATGTCCCCCCAAAGTGAGAAGTGTTGCTAATAATGACACTAGTTATTAGTCAAACTCACTAGTCAAACTCAAGCCTTGAGCTACAAAAACATGGCTCCTGATTTGGAACTAACAGCCAACAGGCCAAGACAAGGAACCCTACAAATATTCCACTGAAGCCTCAGGATAGGGTGAAGATATAAGGTGAGGATAGACACCTTCCACGAGAATTAAGGAGAAAGGAGTTGTATAAATGGGTAATTTGAGAGTCCTTCCCCAAAAATGTCCTCCAGCGTCTACAGTATCTAACAGGGGAGACTGAGAAACAAGCACAAGGTGGGACCCAGGGGTCTCACTTCTTTGAAGCTGAATGTAAGCCCTTAAGATGCACCATTGTACTCGTACACAGCACACTTCTTACACACACACACACACACACACACACACACCGCCTGGAAATCACAGCGTTCCCCTTTAACGTTTTGATTGATCCATGCCGAGAAGGTTCCAACGTCACTTTTCTCTCTCTCTGATCAAAATCAAAACAAAGGATTTGTTGGTGAAGGAAGAAGCCTCAGCTGCCAGGAATGTATTCCGCTCCCCCTGGGGAAGCTGGGCAGGGAACCTGAGCATCCATCGGCTGCCTGAGGCCGCCCTGGTTGCAGGTGGCGGGCTGGGCGCTGCTTTGGAAAACAAAGCGCTGTCGGCTCCCGGCTCTCGGCTGAGGGCGGACCCCCGCCCTCTGGCACTTCACCCCCAAAGCGGCACGTCCCCCAGATCACAGACCCCGTTCACACGGATGCAGGAGCGCGTCGCACATACGTGGGGACAACCCGTGCCGCTAAGTATTTATCTACGTTTCTTGGGGGCCGTGATTCTTTTCTTCCTCACAGCGCCAACAACTTCCAGGCGCCTCCGGTCTGGCCAGAGCCCCGGGGGTGCTGGACCTTCCAGCCCCGGCAGGTGGGATGCGAATGGAGCGTAAGGAACCCCCCTGCCCGCGCCCGCAGTCGCCCCCGCCTCGCTGCTGAAGGTGAATTACTCCGGCCACGAGCTAGCGGGAGGCTGGAGGACTCGCTAGAAAAATAAATGCATCCCAGGGGCGGCCCCTCCTACGGTCTCCCGGCGGCCGGGGTGAGGGTGGCACAGCCCGGACTCCAACGGGGGAAGCTCATGCCTTGGGCGCTGACCTTCCCAGGTTGGCGGGGGCCCACGGGCTGCCCACGCCCCT